GTGCAAATGCCAATGCTGATAATTCGAAAACAACACAATTCGACGTTATCGTTGTCGTAGTCGTAACATCATTTACTACGAATGTCCATTTCCATTTGCAATGAAAATTCATTTCGATTTTTCCGCAACATCTTCCTTTTGGACTTTGATTTGATTACATGTAACCACACAAGGAAGAATTTTGAACACGTCATGGTGTCGTCTGTATGTTTGTGTGGGTGTGAGTTGAACACTTGAAGAATTACAAATGCATAAATGTTACAAAATCCAAGGTTCATTTGCCTGGAGCAGCTATAATGACATTTAAATAAGAATATCATTTACATTGTGTCACTTGTTAAGGAGAACAATAAAAATTTTAACCGATATAAAAAGGTTGCCGATTTAATTCTCAATGAGGGAGAAGGGTTTCCATAACCTACAACACTATGTGTTGGGGGTTTTATAAGTTTGATTTGTCCAAAAATTATGTAACACATCGAAATATTGGTTCCCGACATAGAAAACTGTACATATATGGATCTTCCTATCTCGACGAGCAGAAGAAGATCGACTTCTGGTTTAACTATTTTCTGATCTTCTGGTTAAACTATTTTTATTTTATTTATATTTTGCGTTTATTCCTCTTAAATTGTTTTCAAAATTTTAGTCAATAACATTTGTATTACTTGTTTCTTATACCGCTCAATTTAAAATAAATTTGCAATAATTAGAGGTTATTTGAAATAAACAGTCAATTGAATACTAAATGTAATGTTGTATTTACTATAAAAAAACATAAAACAATCAGCATTTACACTAATTGAATGTTTGACACCGTTTCATGCAATTGTGTGGGGGTGTGTTACACAGCAAATTGTTGTTACGATTGTAAACGCATAATCTATAGTTTTGTTTCATGCATTACCGTCATGGATCAATGAACAGGACGGCGAGATCTCCATACTTGGACGCAGTTAACAGAATTAGTAAGCGATGAATGTTAGCAAAAATTAGTATGACCATAAAATGAATGTACAGGGTGAGATAAAAACACTGCAACAAAGTCAAAAGTCATATTTTTTACATTATTTTTTAAATTTTTTCGAATGAAAGAAAAAAGTGTCGAAAATAGCATTAAATTCTAGAATAACTTTAGATTTGTTCGAATTGGTTTGGCACGAATTATAGCCTTCAAACGGCCAATGAAACCGTTACACTCTGCCCGAATGTTGCTCTGCGGTATTTTGGCCCATTCCCGGCAAAGCGATTGCTTGAAGTGATCAACACTTTGGTATTTTTTAGTGCCAACCTTGCTTTTCAAAATACTTCCAACGGATTGGTATCTAGAGATTTTGGTGGAAATGAATCGAGGGACTTCATTTTGTAACCATTCTTGGGTGGCGCGTGCTAAGTGCGATGGTGCTGAGTCCTATTGGAATGTCCAAGGTCTGCGGCCAAAATGTTTGCGTGCCCAAGGCTTTAATACACCCTCCAGAATATTTTTGCAATAATATTCGGCATTTATTCGCATGTCACGGTCGATTGGCTGTTATGGCGGCCCACACCATCACCATGGCCGGCGCTTGAGTTCTGGTGGCCAACCGAAGGTGTACATTTTCAGCTGACCTCTTTGGAATGAAAACATGATAATTTTGTTTGTTTACAAACTGCTGCACACCGAATGTTTTCGCATCGGAGAACACCAAATTCGGCAGTTCACCACTTTCGGCTAAGCGGAGCAACTCTTACGCTCCTCACAGGCTATTTTCTTTTCGTTGCGGTGTAAGTTCTCCCACTTTTTGGAATTTCAATAGCCGAATGGAATAATGCGATATGTTCAGCCCACGAGCCATTTTTCGCCCACTGCGTTGCTGTTTTCTTTCGTCCTCTTCCTTGACTTCGGGCTACACTACCAGTATGACGGTAACGAGCGATGGTACGAGGCACAAAAGATTTATTCATATTTATTTTTATTTAAAGGAGTGCTCTAACGATATCCACTTATGGTTTTCCAGCCAAATATAAAGAAATCACACAATCAGACATGAATTCCATCACAATTTATTTTTTTTCTGGAACATGCTCACCAAAATGCTTTTGTACGCTTGTAAACAATATAATGAGTTGTCGCTGGAATAATTTTAACAGCTGTCGGATCAGTGCCTTAGAAATGACAGCAGTCTGAAGTTAGTTTGGCTATACCAAAACGTGGACCTGCACAGACAATTTTCTGTCATTGGTAGTATCCTTACGAACTTCTAATATCAAATTTAAAACAATTCCCGTGAATAATGTCGCTAAATTTATCAAAATACCGAATATCGGGAGGTACCGTTATGTGGAGGCCATACGAAGACGTGGACCAGCACTGACACTTTTCTGTTGTGGGCTGTATTATGTTGTACGAATTTCAAATACGAAATTTGAAACAATTCCAGTGAATAATCTCGCTAAAATTATCAAAGAATCGAATATCGGGATATACCGTTATGTGGGGGCTATACCAAAACATGGCTCATTTTCAATACCAAAAGTCTTGGAAACATAATACAAATTTGAGTAAAATTGTATCAATCTACTTAATTTCGTTCGGCACCTAGAGTGATTTCCACAGACGGACGGACATCGCTAAATCGACATAGAATTTTATGCTGATCAATAATATATATAAAACAAGTAAGCAAAGGCTATAGTCGTGCGGGGCCGACTATTTGATACCCTACAACACTACAATATATTTTAAGCCTCCTTATGTCCAAATCCGTTTTGGATGATTTCGCTTTTGAAATTATGTCACAGATCACTGCCCAGATGTCAACCTTAGCATATTGACCAGGGATATTTGCCCAATATTTACGCACTCCGCCGTGCTGTTAGTTGTTGTGGTCCATTATTATAATCCAATGGTCATCTAAAATGCTAGAATTCTTCCCTGTCCCTAACTCTCTTCTCAGGAGCGTCAATTGGCTTCAATTGTGTGATGAGGTAATCGTTTCTGTTTTGGTTCATTTGAACCCCTAAATATTTTGCCATCATTTCCAAAAGCAAGAGGCCCCTCTGTATCTCTAAATTTAGACCCACCTATATGATTTACTTGTCTACGATGTTTGGCTATATTCGTCAAGGAAATCAGCATAGGAAGCCAGAAGTTCGCATTTTGTGTATTTTGAATATCGCCTGTGAATAATGCTAGTATTTTTCCACACAAAAGTAGTGGTCCATTCTAACCCTACCCTTGTGCAAAATTTCCTGAGGATCGGACGATAATTGCAATCTGTATAGGATAACCCCAATCGGTGTTGTTAGGTGAAAAAATATTACAAAATGTACTCTTTAATATTATAAGTCAAAATAAAAAAATCGCATGCGATAAAAATTATGAAAAAAAATAAAATAATGTCACAAAATACTACAAAATCTATATTAACATCATTATCGACACCTTTTTATGCAATTTTTTTATATTTTATTCTTTTATGCCAAGAGGGGATTTTAAATTGACAAAATTTGTCAAAATCGGTCCAGCCATTCATGAGCTATATGCATTCTAGCTAACATCCTCTTCCTTTGTATATAAACATTGTATATATTTCGCTATATATATCCGATATATTTACTATCGGTATTTACGTAACGGTCAGAATTGACCTCTTCGTCTATTTGTGATTTCGCCAGGATTAAAAATATTCGCGGTTCAATAGAAAATTTGACATTTATTTAACACAAATGTTGTGGCCTATTTCACCCATTAAATATTACCCGATGACCACCATAATTGGAAGGCTTCTGCCCAAGCTCTAGCCCCATGCTGACTTCCGCGTCGATTGGTCTATAATTGCGACCTGTAGAGCAACTACAAAATCAGGACATTTTTAAGTTTTTGGTCCATTTCAACCCCTAAATATTATGCGATCATCTCCAAAAGAAATAGGGTTCTATTCTGGCTCTAGCCCCACTTCCACTCTAAGTTTCGTGATTTTTGGGCCATAATTGCGACCTGTAGAGTGATTACAAATTAACATGGACAGAAGGACGGACGGACATACATAGCTAGATCGACTCAGCTCGGCGAGATAGGAAGATCCATCTATACTTTCCTATGTGGGAAATCAATATTTCGTGGTGTTACATAATTTTTGGCCCAATCAAACTTATAATACCCCCAACACAAAGTGTTGTAGGGTATAAAAATGTATATTTCGAGGTGTTACAAACGGAATGGCAAACTTAATATACCCTCCATACTATGGTGGAGGGTATAATAGTGTTACAACAGAATCATACTTACGTTGTTGCCAAGCCTCACATTGTTAGTCCCTTGTTTTAATTATTGTTATATGTTGAAGATTATAGAGCGCTGTGGATAAATACTCCGGGAATATACTCATTTTTAATTACAACGTCCAATGCAAAATGTATACAATTTGATGGATACATTAGAAATGGACATGTAAGATTCTGCTATAAACAATACTACATATTTCCCATATCATTTATTACTAAGAAGAGAACTATATAATTAATTGTTTGATAAACATTTATTATACAATACCCTACAATAGTTCTAAAACATAAACTGTTTGAGGACATAACACGTAACAAACTACATACTTTAACCAAATTGCAAAAATTTAGTAGAATATTATCTTAAGATGAACTTAATGCTTTCCTAGTAGATAACAACTAGATGTTGGAAAATTATTTTAAAAAGTCACCATACTGAGTACAATCATTTTAAGGACACTATACACCGAATAGAATATTCAACACCCTGATGTTTAAAAATTGGTTTATGCGAAATCTCTCGAATAAGCCTTTGAAATCATTACGTGCCAAACTTTTAACATGAAGTACAAATTCAAGTCTGCCAATGCTACATGGCGTAATGTATTTTAGACAAATCATAGAACGACAATGTTTTCATTTTGTACTGATATGTGTTTGTGTGTGTGTGTGTGTGTGTGGATGAATTAGCGAAAAGTCATAAAACAATGGCAAATCAAATAAAATGAAGCGACCATTTAAAAAAATCAGTACAAATTGAAAAACATTTAACAATTTGTCAACACACACGTTGCAATTTTCCACTTGACAATGTGCATTATCAGTCAGTCAGCCAGCCACCAACCAATCGACCAACTAACTAACTGACAAGCACCAGTCATATTCAACGATTTTGTAGTCCATTATTGGTGTTGTTGTACTTGTTTTTAACAAATAGTGTATTGTAAATAGAACAGTGCAAAAGCTGCGAAAACCGGAGTTATCCACCCGATCAGGAGGACCAAGAAGCAGAGTGAGTGATAAAAAGAGTGAAATTAATTTGAACTCGGTAAAAATGAAAATGCTGATGAAGTGAATAAAATCAAAAATAAGGGCGTTTTTTGGGAGTTTATTTAAATTTTGAAATGTTTATGTCAGCGAAATAAAAATGACGAAACATTTGTAAAGTAGAGCAATCAAAATGAATGTGTAATTTGTGAAATTCAAAATAAAACGAGGACGGAAATAAATAAACTATTGTACATGAATTGGATTACATTTCAATACAACAATTAACGTTGTTATCACATACATTTAGAACATACGTTGCATATTGTAAATCTGGACGGAATTATAATTTGAAACAAATTTTTATTGTATTTAAATTTTTAAGTCTTAAGTGTTTCCTTTATAAACATGGGTTTTAGGATTCTGATATTAAAATAAATAAGGAAGAACAAGTAAAAAAGCAGTGACCATTTGGAAGGAACTAGAAAATTTTCAAAAAAAAATACGAAAATTGCTTAAATGAAAACCGTTATATGGGGATATACGAAAACGTGAACCTGCTTTGGAAATCCCTTTTCATAGGCTGTAGTACCTATTACGAACTTCAAATACGAAATTTGAAATAATTTAAGTAAATAATGTCGCTAAAATCATGAAAATACAGAAGTTTGGGAGGTACCCTTATATGGGGGCTATACGAAGTCTGAATACGAAATTTGTTGTCATTGGTTCCAATACGAAATTTGAAAGGGTTCCGGTGAATAACGTTGGTGAAATAATCAAAAAACCGAATATCGGGAGGTACCGTTATATGGGGGCTACACGAAGACGTGCACGGGCATACAACAATTTTTATCATAGGCTGTAGTACCCATGACGGACCTTAAATATGAAATTTGAAATAATTCAGATATATAATGTGGCTAAAATCATGAAAATACCGAACATCGGGAGGTACCTTATATGGGGGCTATACGAAAACGTGGACCGACATGGCCCATTTACGAACTTAACCTGCCTACTGGTAAACTATGAATGTAAACTTTTAGCCTTCTATCTCAATTCGTTCGAAAGATAGCGTGATTACAGCAGACGGACAGACAGACGGACATCGCTGCACCGTTTTAGAATTTTACTCTGATCCAGAATATATATACTACACAATAGACCCTACTATTATGAATATATCGAGGAGTGACAAACGGAATGGAAAAGCTAAGCTGGAAGGTATAAAAATGTCAACCCAAGATGGTTAAACCAGTAAGGAAATCTGAAGAGCCGGTTGCTCCGCTTATATGATACCCTACACCACTATGTATATTTATTAGAGCTAACCGTAACAAATTTATGTGAAGTAGATCATATCAACTATGAAACGGGAAGCTTCAGAGACAATTTTATACTCCTAGGATTTTCATCGTAAATACTAAACTTGAAACAATTTCGTGAGTAAATGTGACTAGAATTTTCAAACTACCGAATATTGGTGGGTATCGTTTTATGTGCGCTATACGAAAACGTGGCTATACAAAAACGTGGACCTATTCATACAATGTTTTGCCACCGGAACTAGAACACATTATAATCAACAAATACCAATTTTCGGACAAATCCGTGGAAAAATGTGGCGAAAATCATAACAATACCGAATATCGGGAGTTACCGGCCATTCCAAAACGTGGACCAATATACCTCATTTTCAATACCAACAATCCTAGACACAATATAAATTGTTCTTCAAATTTTTTTAGCTCAAATAATGTGGGCTGCATTGTGATTTCAATAGACACCTGATAGACAGATTTAGAATATTATGCTGATTATGAATATATTTACTTTATGGGGTCTGCGACGATTATTTAGGCATGTTACAAATGAAATACGAAGTTATTTCATTTGTAATAATTCATTTCAAGGTGGAGGGTATAAAAATCACCATTTTTCCAATTTCAAAGTTTTATTGTAAAACAAGTAAAAAAGCCGTGCCGAACTTTTTATACCATCCACCATTTGGAAGAAACTTAAAAAATCTCAAAAAAATTCTGTCGAAAAATACCGCTAAAATGAAAACCGTTATATGGAGGCTATGCAAGGACGTGGTCCTGCATAAGTAATTGGTGACGTAGGCTGTAGTAACGGTTCCGTACTTTATATACGAAATTTGAAAGAGTTCCGGTGAATAATGTCGCAAAAATCATGAAAATACCGAATATCTGAGGGTACCGTTATATGGGCGCTATACTATGACCTGGACCTATTTAGACAATTCTCTTCTAAGGGGTAAAGTAATCAGAAGGAACACCTTGATTTTAAATTTAAATTTATTTTAAAACAATACCATTAACAAATTAGGCGGAACTCATCAAAACACCGAATATCGAGGGTACCGTTATATGGTTTCAGACAATTCCATTGCAAAATGTGGCCAAAATCATCAAAATACAGAATGCTGGGAGGTGCCGATATCGTGGATCAACTCTTTCAGGGGGTAATGTACTCACAAGGAACTCTTCTTGTGGATTTTAAGACAATTCCATTGCAAAATGTAAAAAAAAAAAATGTAAAATCATAAAAATACCGAATATCGGGGGTTATCGAATATGAGGGCTATACGATATCGTGGAACGATATAGTCCATATTGGAACTTGACCTGCCTGCAGACATAAGACAGACCTGTGCAAAATTTTAGCTTTCTATCTTGATTTATTAGATTTTTACGTTGATCAAGAATACAGGGTGAGATGAAAAAACTGCAACCACCTTTAGACTGCTGTCATTTCAAAGCCACTCGTTCGACACCTGTTAAAATTATTCCAGTGACAGCTCATTATATAATTTAGAAGCGTACAAAAGCATTTTGGTGAGAATTTTCCAGAAAAAAGTTATTCGGGATGGAATTCAAGGGTGATAGTGTGATTTCTTTATATTTGGCTGGAAAATCGAAAGTGGCTATATTTAGAGCACTCCAGCATGTAATGTGAATAAATCTTTTGTGTCTCGTGCCATCGCACATTACCGTGATACTGGTAGCGTAGCCCGATGTCAAGGAAGTGTACGAGAGAAAACAGCAATATCTACAGAAATGGTTCGAAAAGTAAAGAAGCGACATGATCGAAACCCGCGTCGCGATGGCCGAAAGATGCCTCGTGAGCTGAGCAAATCGCAATATTCCATTCCGCAAATATTGAAAAATGAGCTCGGGGTAAAGCCATTGTAATTCCAAAAAGTGCAAGAACTTACACCGCAACAAGAATAAAATAGACTCAAAAGAGCTAAAGAGTTACTTCTCATGGCCGAAAGTGGTGAACTGCCGAATTTGGTTTTCTCTGATGAGAGAACATTCGTTGTCCAGAAGTTTGTAAACAAACGAAATTATCGTGTTTACTTTCCAAAGAGGTCAGCTGAAATGTGCACCTTTGGTTGGCCACCAGAACTCAAGCGCCGGCCATTATGATGGTGTGGGCCGCCATAAGAGCCGATGGTCGATCTCCGCTCGTATTAATCGACCGTGGCTTCAGAATAAATACCGAATATTATCGCGAAAATATTTTGGAGGATGTATTAAAGCATTGGGCACGCAAACATGTTACCGCAGACCATCGGACTCAGCACCATCGCACCTAAGAATAGTTACAAAATGAGGTTCCTCGCTGCATTTCCAGCGCACAAGGGCCACCAAAATCTCCGGATACCAATCCGTTGGACTATTGTGTCTGGAGTATTTTGGAAAGCAAGGTTAGCACTAAAAAATACCAAAGTGTCGACCACCTCAAGCAAGCGCTTCGCCGGGAATGGGCCAAAATACCGCAGAGCAACATTCGGGCAGCGTGTGACGGTTTCACTGGCCGTTTGAAGGCCATAATTCGTGTCAAAGGTGACCAATCTAAACTTATTCTAAAATGATGCTATTTCCGAAATTTTTTGCTTTCATTTAATAAAATCAAAAAAAAAAAAAAAATGTAAAAATTATGGCTTTTGACTTTGTTGCATTTTTTTGATCACACCCTGTATGGTGGAGGGTATAACAAGTCGTCTAAAGATTCATTAATCGGGGAATTTTATTAGTTATTTCAAAAACTTGGTCTTGGGAGTTCTTAAAAAATGGTTTGCAAACAATATAATATAAAACGTTAAGTTCGTCTGGACCGAAATTCTAATACTCCCAGTATAGACAATATTCGGACACCTAACTAACGAACTACAAATATCAACTTTTTAGTAATTTAATAAAAATAATCTTGTTAAAATCTTTAAAACATCAGAAGGAATCTTTATGTCGGGCTATATGAAAACGTGGACGCATACGGGCAATATTGCGCCCAAATACAAAATTTGAAACAAAATGTGGCTCAACAGACAGATAGCCAAAACGACTCAGAATTGTACTCTAATATGAATATTTATTCTTTATGGACCCTCTTGCGAATATTTGGAGGTGTTACAAACGTAATGACAAATTTAATATGCCTCCTGTCTATTGTGGAAGGCATGAAAACAATTATTCTTAATCACCTTCATTTGGGGTCCAAGCACAAACGACCTTCGACCCTGACTGCAGAAAACGACATCATGGACATTGTTAAATACGTTAATCAAGAAAATATATACTATCTTGGTTAATGACATACTGAATATACCATCCATTTCATGGCGGAGGGTATACAAAAGAAAACAATATATAATGTCCTGAAAATAAATCTATTTACCCTCGTGAAATGATAATATCTCAATTTATTGTTTATTAGACAAAACACATTGGCAAAATATTTAAATTTCTACAGCATCTACCTAACATTGATGCCTTATCGAAATCATTTCACATTTATTTATTTTAAGGAATTTTTCGAGGGGGCATAAATAGCACCACTCCATGAGTGCGAACAACTACTCATCCTTTCGAAAAAATACAGTGTCGCATTTGAAAATCGAAATGTCTTTCGCTGGCATTTGGCGTAGCGGCCGAACACAATTGTTGTACACAATTTTAATTGTCGTATCGTTGTTGTCCTGTCGTTGCCAAGCTCAACAACCCAGACGTGATGCAGAGGTATTGCAAATCAATTGTTACATCTTTTGTATTTGTTGTTGTTTCTTTTTCTGGTGTTTGGCATTTGGTTGGGGAATTTTTTATTTATTTTTTGTTTTTTTTTTTTTTTTTTTGAGTGGTGATGATAACAGCGGAATAACAAAAAATTGAATGTTCTATATTTCTTTTGTTTAGTATCCCCCACCGGCAATTTTGAAAATGGCAAAACCATTTCATGACACATGTGTAGAAAAAACTGGCGTAACTGATGGTATGTATGAACAAACCCACCAACGAACAATCACACACACACACACACTAGCACATATGTACATGGCTAAGCCCATGGGTCCAAAACAATTTTATATTTGCTTTTGTTTGTTTGGGACTTTTGATGTGCAGCCACCTAAATCGTTTGTTTCACTGTCATTGTTCTTCGTGTTGTTGTGTATTTCATTTTCTGAAATTTAGCGGCCATCAAGGAATTCAGTGATGGCGAGATCCATGAAGATGAGGCTCTCAAGTGCTATATGAATTGCCTTTTCCATGAATTCGATGTAGTCGATGATAATGGCGATGTTCATTTGGAGAAGTTATTTGCAGCCATTCCCGGCTCTTTGCGTGAATTACTCGTAAACGCTTCGCAAAATTGTGTACATCCGGAGGGTGATACCTTGTGCCACAAGGCCTGGTGGTTCCATCAGTGCTGGAAGAAAGCAGATCCGGTGGTAATTATTAGACGCTGATATCAAAGGTGGTACATTTTTTAATGACATCCTCCATTCTTTGTATCTTCTCAAGCATTACTTTTTGGTCTAATTGATGGACCGAGGGAGCGACAATCGGACAATCATAAAAAGAATCGAATGAAAGGAAATGTTGCAGAACAAAATTACAATTTTTATTTTATTTTATGTTTATTATAGCATTTAAAAATGAAAAAAAATATTAACAAAAAAAAAAAAAACGCTAATTTAGAATAAAAATAAGGCTATAGTCTTACAAACCATAGATATACACATATATCAATAAAAGTGCTTTGAAAAGGATTTGGTGATGTTGTTCTTAGTTTATGTTTGGACCAACAATGCTGCCAAATTTTTATATGAACAATGAACTAAAAAATTAATTATACAGGGTTACAGGGACATACCGCGTTTGAAGCGTCAGTCCAAGCAGACTTTTACCATGAACCAATACACGCCACGCGAGCGCTCTGAAATAGTTGAAATTTACAAGAAGTCAATTGTGAAAACTCAACGTGCTTTTAAAACATTAAAAAATGTGGGAAGTGCGCCTTCTAAGAACACCATTAAGCGTTTATACGACTGGTAAGGCTCTTTCTAATCCGAAGAGGCTATATAAAAGTCGACCGAGGCGATCGGCCGAGAATATCGCTGCCGTACGAGCCAGTGTTGAGAGGTCCCCAAGAACATCCCAAAAACGCCGTTCTCAGCAGTTAGGCATTATTCGCAATGGATTATTCGCATTGTTTTGCATTTGTTCCCGTACAAAATTCAATTGACGCAAAGAATGTTGCCTGCGGACAAGCCTCGTCGATTGGAATGGGCCCAAAGGTCCGTCGAATATGGGCAACCCTGTATAACTTTACCATAAGTTTCTTTGATTTAATAATTAACGTGAAAAACAAGTTTTAACCTCACACTCATACATATTTCTTGGCAAGTTGAATCGATCTACCCAAATGTGTCTTATTATGCAATGATGTCCGATTTCGGAGCCTCTCTAAATAATATTCCATTTGAGAAATTACCGATTATTATCTGTATGCTCATCATAATATCTCTTAGGAGAGTACAACAAGTAACAAAGATGTTAGTTCGACCGGGCCGAGGGTATACACCACTTGGAGCAAATTTTGCAATTTTCAAAAAAAAAACTCCGTTAAAAATTCTGTTAAAATCTTCTAAATACCGAATGTAGCCATTATATTAGGGTCTATACGACGACATGGACCTGCATAGGCAACTTTTGTCATAAGCCATTACAATATTCAAATGCGAAACTTGACAAAAGATCGGTGAATAATGTCGCTAAAATCACCATCAAAATACCAAATATCGGGAGGTACCGTTATATGGAGGCTATACGAAGACGTGGGCCTGCACAGACAATTTTCTGTCTTAGACTATCCATTACAAACTTCAAATACCAAATTTATTCCGGTGAATAATGTCGCTAAAATCATGAAAATACCAAATATCGGAAGGTACCGTTATATGAGGGCTATACGAAGAGGTGACCCTACACTTATAATTTTCTGTCATATGCTGTAATATCCATTACGAACTTCAAATATCAAATATGAAACAATTCCGATGAATAATGTCGTTAAAATCATCAAAATACCGAATATCGGGAGGCTCTATACAGGGTGAGATGAAAAAAATCCAACCAACTTCAGACTGCTGTCATATCTAAGCCACTCGTCCGACAGCTTTTAGATTATTCCAGCTCATTATATTGCTTACAAGCGCACAAAATGCTTTTGGGTGAGAATTTTCCAAAAAAAAAAAAAAAAATAATCCAAGCGTGATAGTGTGACTTATTTATATTTGGTTGGAAAACCACACGTGGCTATCGTTAGAGCACTCCCGCATTTAAATGTGAATAAATCTTTTCTGTCTCGTACCATCGTTCGTTACCGTGATACTGGTAGCGAAGCCCGACGTCAAGGAAGTGGAAAAAACAGCAACATCAGCAGAAATGGTTCGAAAAGTATAGAAGCGACATGATCGAAACCCGCGTCGCAGTGGCCGAAAAATGGCTCATGAGCCGAACATATCGCAATATTTCATTCGTCAAATATTGAAAAATGAGCTCGGGGTAAGGCCATTGAAATTCGAAAGAGTCCAGCTAAAGATTTGCTTCGCTTGGCAGAAAGTGGTGAACTGACGAAATCAGTTTTCTCCGATGAGAAAACATTCGTTGTCCATCAATTTGTAATCAAGCAAAATGACCGCGGCATCAGAATAAATGCCGAATATTATCGCGAAAATATTCTGTAGGGTGTATTCAAGCCTTGGTCATGCAAACATTTATGCCGAAGTCCTTGGACATTCCAACAGGGCTCAGCACCATCGCACTCAGCACTCTACCCAAGACTGGTCACAAAATGAGGTTTTTCGCTTCATTTCCAACGCACAATGACCACCAAAATATCCGGTTACCAATCCGTTGGACTATTGTGTCTGGAGTATTTTGGGAAGCAACTAAAAAATACCAAAGTGTCGATCACCTCAAGCAAGTGCTTTGCCAGGAATGGACTAAAATACCGCAGAGCAACATTTGGGCAGCGTGTGACGGTTTCATTGGCCGTTTGAAGACCATAATTCGTGCCAAAGGTGACCAATTCGAACAAATCTAAACTTATTATTATGGCGTTTGACTTTGTTGCTGTTTTTATCTCACCCTGTATCGACACGATTGATTATATATATTATCCTATATTTGTCGTATATTGTTATAGTGTTATATTATACCTTTGAGTTATAGCAAAATCCTTCGTTAAATATAATCAGTATTGCAGAAATATCATACGTCATATTATATAAATTTCGCGTAACAGATGACGTCAGCTTTAAACTGTGTTTTTATTGTCCGCCACAGAGATGTGTTGCAGGAAAAATACTTAACAATTGATCCAACAAATTGATGAGTTTCGAATAAAAAAGTTATGTCCCACTAATTTTATTCAATTCAAATGGTTGTTATACGAATGTCATTTTTCTTCTCTGTCTATCGCGATGAGTCGGTATAAGTTTTTTGCATATTTTATGCGTAAATCAATTGTGTATGTGTTTGTTTTTTTTTTCTGCTACATCTGTCACATTTTAAGCCTATTATTGACGATTTTATTTATCTATCACTTCAAATGCAGACCAACAGAGTCGTTGTTGTTATCAGCACATTTTTTATTATTAATAAATAATACATGCATAAATATGCCGTTTTTATTATTGATGACAGAATATTTGTTTGGTGTGTCGACTGTGTTCGTTTTCCTTTTTTTGTGGTTGGTTGGCAAGTTCAGTTTCTCAACACCACTTGTTGGTGTTGGTTGGTGCTGCTGTTGATTTGCCTTCCCCATCGAAACATAATAATAAATAAATGACTATAAAACCATCGTTCTTTATTTTTTTTTGCAAATCCCTCGAAAAAATTGACATTACTTTGGCCACTCAATCAATATGTAGTAACTTGGTACCGCATGCGTACGTAGGAGTTATAATAAATTTAATATAAATGCAAATTTCCTGCTGAAATTCCCCGTCTCCTTGCCGTCATCAACCGTCGAACAACATTATAGTGAAAGTGTAAAGTTAAACTAAATATTTCGATATGAAATATGATCTGCTCGGCAATATTCAAAGTTGTTCGTTGAATAATGAATTTGGGCGAGCAGAGGATGAAGAAGGACGCAACTTTATGCCGGCATATCGAATGCAAAAATTGTGTGTGGTTGTTTTTTTCTGCTCAGCATTATTAATAACGGATGGCAACGAACGGCAATGATAAGTGCTCTGTTGTCGGCAGCATTACCAGTGACTACCATTAAATATCAAAGAATTTCAGTCAGCATAGCCAAAGTAGTAGCCGCTCAGCAGTAGCTTCGGACTGCAATAAGAAAGAAAATAATAAAGAAAAATAGCCCAAGAAGAAAAGGACCCAAAAGAATATATATACTTTGCGGGGTCTAAAATGTGTATTTCGAGGTGTTACAAACGGAATGACAAACTTAATTAACCCTCCATACTAGAATCAGTTCGATTCTGCCGAACTTATTATAGCCTCCTTGGAAGGTAAGGATGGAGTCTATAGAAAAACGTTAACCTATATAGAAATTGTTCAGCTACAGGAGTGAAACCATTTACGAAAATCAAATATCGAATTTTAAGTAATTCCCTCAGAAAATGCGTCTAAAATCGTCAAAATTCCGAATATTGGGAAGTATTGTTATATGGGGGCTAAAGGAAACATGGATTACATATTGGTCCTGGATAAACGATGTTACATATGAATCTTCTTATTTCGCCGAGCTGAGTCGATATAGCAATGGTTGCTCGTCTGTCCGTCCATGTTAATTTCTAACAAGTAAGCAAAGGATATAGTTGGTAAAGTTTTTTTCAGATCTGAAACTCTATTTACAATAATGAAGATTCTCCTAAGAAACATCTCCATATCTACTACATCATAAAATCAAATGTTGAACCTAATTACTCCTCTTTTCGAATAATCATCATAGATCTGGAACCAATATTCTACAAAAACAAATGATCTCAAAAAAACATCGTTATTTGACGAGGCAGATGTTCCCACTAAATAAAATAGCAAATTCCCTCATTCTAACTCGAAAGAACAGAAAAAGTTTTATCTTGGCTTTTGGCGGAAACCACGAGGTCATGCAAATGTTCGTTGCCCTATATTTACGTCCTATGTCGTGTTAATGGATATTCAAAACAATTTAAAAAATTTCAGTTCCTCTATCTGATGTCTTGTATCTCCGATAGTTGTTAACGAAATCAGCATCAATTTAAAGGCCAGAGGTTCGCTGTTCACCTATGTGGGACTTCGTTAATTTTTGTAATTTTACCCAACACCACATAGTTGTAAGAATATTATGTCTTTGTGCATTTGTTTGTAACAGACAGAAGAAAGCGAAATAGAGCCATAGTTACTTTTGAGGATCTTCATAAAATCACTTTCTGAGTCGATATATGCCGTCGCATATATGCAGGTAGCATTTATTATCCGATTGAGATGAAGTTTTTCAAACAATATTTGTTTGGCCAAAGGACGAACCCTATTGAAATCGGTGATAAT